CACACAAACGTAACTCTCCTGACTTTTTAATAATCGGAACAACTGGACTTCCCCATTCACTGTTACTGACCGGTGACAAGATTCCTTCCTCTACTAATCGATCTATCTCTGCTTCTACTTTACTCTTTAAGGCAAAAGGAATTGGCCTAGGCTTCAGAAATCTAGGGACTGCATTATCTTTTAACACTAACCTAGCCGACTCGCCCTTATAACATCCTAGTTTGTCTGTAAATACTTCCGGGAACTTTTGATACAACTCACTTACGATTTTAGACTCCCCTTCTATCACATTACAAAAAGCTTTACTCTGACCTGAGTTAGCATACACCGTGTTGCTCCTTACATTAGGTATCTTAATTACAACCTCAAGATCTCGAATCCAATCTCTTCCCATCAAGGGATTCGCGCCCTTAGCAATCACATACAAGGTTAACTCTTTCATAACATCTCTGTACTTAACTCTTACGCTCAATTTACCAAGTGGCTTAATAGGCTGATTAGTATATGAACTTAATACTAAATTTGTACTTTGTAACTCCAATGAGCTGAAATTCTCCTTGTAACAATTTTCATTAATGACACTTACACAAGCGCCACTATCAACTTCAAAATTCAAAGACCTGTTCTCAACTTGCAAATTTACCATAATAGGCCTTACCCTATCATTTGCTACATTACTCTCATCATTATCTAAGGCAAAAAGATTAGTTAAATCATAATCACTCTCTGTAGTCTGTTCATTAGGTCCATCTTCATTTTCATCAACATAGTGCTGCTTACTATATTTCTTATGACTAGAATTATGAAATGTAAGTGGCTTACCCCTGTCCTGGCTTCGGCAAACCTTCGCTAAATGCCCTAGATTTCCACATTTATTGCACTTATATGACTTGAACCTGCACACATTGGCCCTATGCCCTAGCTTTCCACAGCAAAAACACTTCACATCACTTCCACTTGACACTCTCTCCTCCCTCCTGTAGTTGGTTGACCGGCTCTGGCTCTGTTGTTGTTGTTGTGGGTAGTGTTGACGTTGACCTCCATGACTACCACTGCCACTGTTGTTGTTGTGCGCCGCCGCCGCCGCCGGCCCCTTCCGCCCGGCGTTGTAGTGAAGTTGCGTCGTCTGCTGTTGACCCCGCGCTGTCTGCATGCCCGACATCAGCGCCGCTGCACCTCGTTCCGCCATTTCCATATTGGTTGCTATGGTTACCGCCTTTTCAAAAGTCAGCTCCGCCTCGCCGAGTAACCGTTTCTTGATGACGTCACTCCGGATACCGCTCACAAGCCTATCCCTCAAATAATCCGACAGATTGGTTTTAAATTCGCAAAACATCGACAGTTCCTTTAATTGCACTACGTAATCAGAGATTGACTCATGTTCTCTCTGAGTTCTCAAACTAAATTTATAACGTTCCGTTATAAACGATGGCGTTGGACTTAAATGTTTTTCAACTAACTCCACAATTTGATCAAATGTCTTATCCGCTGGCTTATCCGGTGCGCACAAATTCTTCACTAAATTATACGTTTTCAAACCCATGACCGTTAACAAAGTAGTAGACACTTTTTTCTCGTTCTTAATGTCATTAGCGTCAATAAAAATTAATAACCTCTCTATATATGAGGACCACGTTTCTTCAGCTGCATCAAACGCATTCATAGACCCTATAAGACCTGCCATTTTATACTCGTTAAATAGTCTATCTATACAAACTGGTGAAACTCCTGACATATAAATTAATTTACGACTCACCGAATGTCTCGTTACAGTGCAAACTCTTACCTCCCTTTACTGTCCTATTAATGTCCAGTTTGCACTTTTTCACTCTCACTGCACAGTTCACACACAGTTCCTTGAAGACGCGATCACGACAGTCCTTCTACTGTTGGTCGCACAATTAATTGTTCACACGCGACAGCCCTTCCGCTTGCCGGTAACAATCTTCTGCACACACGCGACAGCCCTTCCGCTTGCCGGTTACGTGAATTCTCACTGCCTCGTCGCCAAATTGAAATGGCTCTAAGGCATCCTCGTCGCCAAATTGGAATGTCCGTGGTTTAAGAATGAAGATGGAAGTAAATAATAACACATTTTACAGTTAAAAATGCCGCGGCCGATACGGGCGGGACTAACACGGGAGTTGGTTACATCACGGGAGCTGCTGGAAGACTGTGAGGAAAAGCCGGGAAAATAGGAGCGTGGTCAGGCTGTGTTGTGATTGGTCGGTTGAGGGTGGCGTGATGATCGGACCACGGCAACGGTTTATTAAGTCAAACACTGCCATCATGATACATACATTGACAATAGTTATATACAGTAAGGTGTACTATATGAAATACACTACAGTAGGCTACGTTGATTCTAGGCTTGTAATGGCCCCCTAGGACTTTATTGCATTCTTTTAGTCACTTTCACTAACCTTTGTGGGATGAAGTAGGTCTTTTAGTGTCGTATATAGGGCAGGGCCCATAATAGAAATGAAATAGGCCAACTTATCCTCATCCTTGATGTTGTTGATCTTGAAGAAGTTGTTCAGTCTCTTGGAGTAATTCTCGAACGTCTCCATTTCTTCGTTAAATTCACTAACTTTCCAGATGAGCTGTTTAGCCATATCGAAATATTAATATGAAACCAACTTTTCTTAAGTTATATAGTCTATAAACACCGAAATAAAACATTCAAGTTCGTGAGACCATGTTTTTAGCGAATTTCCCATATAGGGAATATATAGAATATATAGAATAAGCTATTACCGTAGGTCTCATGGTAAGACTTAGACCCGGGACCGATTTACTTTTTCATTTTTATGTCCCTAGAAGCCAAAAACACCATCCGCTCAAATTCATATATATATATATATATATTTATATATATATATATATTTATATATATATATATATTTATATATATATATATATTTATATATATATATATATTTATATATATTTATATATATATATATGTGTGTCCGTCAGCACAATAACTCGAGCAAAAATGATCCGATTTCGATGAAATTTGGTACAAACGTGTAAACCTACGTTTATTCGAACGAGTTCGCGAACCAGCATGATCGGACAATGGGAACGGGGTTTTATGGGGTAAAATTTGGTTTTTCTCGTTTTTGACCCTCAAAACTTAAAATTTCCCAAATTTTCCCTAGATCATTTTGAAGAGCTTAAAAAAACAAATAATTTAGTATATTGAAGTGTTTCTGTATGATTATTGGTTAAGGAGAAAATTGTAAATTAAAAATTCCCATGTTATTCTTATGGAGAATAAGTAAACTGTTGTAGTTTGCTTGTTTATGGATATATTTGGTTCAAACCTGGCAAATCTATTTATTTTATACTAAGCTATTAATATTTTACTTAAAAACACACTTTGTTACCCTCCCTGTAGGCAGCAAACCTAGGTACTCGTTAAACCTAATGTTATTTGAATAGATTTAATTGAAAATCAAATCAGGCAAATGGAAATTCGCTTAGTCTGCAGGTTTGCTGCGGCGGGGGTATTTTCCTTTCACGATGAAACAAGTTGTTTTCCGTTTTCCTCGAAGTTCACCCGGCACGCTCCCCTTCCACTTCCACCATGAACACGAACGTTCCTTCCAATTCCAAGTTGCAGTTCCCACAACTCGTTCCGTTCCAGTTGCAGTTGACCTACACAACACTTCGGAACTGGTATTCGCAATGAGCTATGGTAATAGCTTGCAGAACGGTTGTTGGAATGGAGCGGAAAAATAAAATACCAGGAGTAGGAAGAAACACGACTTTGAATAACAGTTACTTTGGAACGGTTACACCACGGCACACACCACTATTTTCATGCACACTATTCTCAAACATGAAAATCCAAAAATAATAAAGTACCTAGATTTTCACTAGGGATGGACGAGATTGGATTTTTAGTTCGAGACGAGATTTTTTATTTCTCATAAAATTTCGAGACGAGATCGAGACGGGATTTCCCTTCTCATACACAACGGGAAATGCACGTTCAAAATTTTTACCTGATTTTGTAACATTGTTAGATGACTGTTTAAATGCAAAAATAATGATAATAGGCAAGAATATTTACAATCTTTTATTAAAAAACATCAGCATAACATTTTTTTATTAATCACGCCTAACTTATTAAAAATGCCTACGATTAGGAAACATAGTGATATCAGTTAGGATAGATTTCAACTTATCCCAAAATAAAATAAATCATAAAATAAAAGCAATATTAATTTTTATAAAATAGTTACTTGTTTTGACTTTTTATAGTAATAAAACATTCCTCACACTGCTTACACTTAACAAAACTTCTCAAATGTTATTAAAGTAATATTATTCAAATAAAAAGTAATATTTACATTTAAAGAATTAATTAAATAAGAACGCCTTCGCAAAGGAAACGCAACTATAACACGCTCCTGTATTGCGGGTATTGCATTGACTTTCTGCAGGCGTTTTTAATTTTTTTTTTTTTTTTTTTATTCTTGTCTCGATAAAAATCTCGGCCAAAAAGAAATCTCGTCTCGAGTAACGAGATTTAAAATTTCCCGAAAATTTCCCGAAATTTCGAGACTTGACCATCCCTAATTTTCACTAAAACCGAAAACACGCAAGTTCTTTGCAAACCTTGTCGCCACTATTGTAATCGCGCTACTATTACGATTAGAAATATAATATCGCACTCAACTATTATAAAACTACTTATTTAGAGCTAGTGACCAGAACAGGTAGTGACGTCTTTACTAACCTGGGTCTATACTCGAACTGCTGTCCGTCTCCTCGTCTAGAGTGGGGTTGGCTTCTTATCTCTTGAGGGCAAAGTTCGTCTATTGTCTGTCTTACACTAATATAACTAAAATCCTTCTTCTACTTTACTACAGTATGGTCGCCGTTTTAGTTGAATTACCTACTAGCTAAATAAATACGTTACACAATAATTTACTTCTGATACATATTTTTTAGTATTCAATTGTTAACGTTAATTTCTTTGGTTTCAGTTTTAGGATGGCCCATATGTTTCCTGATTGTCTCGCTGATGTAGACGTTGTGTCTGACGCGGAAAACATAAAAAAACTCCTGAAGATACCATATAGCAGGGATGCGGTAAGAAGACACTAAAGCTGTATTTTTTTTGTATATACAATGAAAGTATTGTGGCAAAATATTGCTATTGTATCATATCAAATTCTGCTGTTGGATGAGATAAGTAGCTTGTAAACCCTAGAATGTGTCTAGGATATATACAGGTGTTTCCAAATTGTCTGGACATTTTTTGTGAACTTTTTCCTTGTGCTAAGACAAACATAAAATGTCATATAAGTATCTATATATTAATACGCAAGCAGTTTTCTTTTCACAGTCATAACTCGATAACTGCTTGACGGATTTTAACGTTTGAGGTGTCAAATTAAAGGTTTTTTACGTAGATGTGCAAATACGTCGTAAAGTATTTAGAAAGGACATCACTTGAGTACAGATAAGGGCTAAAATTTGGGAATGGTGCTGCTATCTGTTGACTTTAGATCAAACTCAATTCACTTTGTTTACAACCAAACATATGGACGTAGTTTGGAATAGTTTTTAGTTTTTAAGGTTAACCACAGACTGCAGGACTTATTACTTCCAGAGCAAAGCCGGAATTTATTTTTTATTTAAACATCTGTTAAATAAGTCTGGTTCATAAATTAACAGCTTCCTAGCAAGACAAATTGTTTGTAAATAGTTGAATGTATTAACCTTACATCGTATTTTACTGAATTATCGTGTTGTTTTGGTTACAGTTCGGTGTGATGAAATGAATGTTTGAAAGTGATTATTTACAGTGCAGTTACAGTACCCGTTACATTACCATATCATGTAATTTACAACGTGTATCAAAATTCCGCTGTAGTGTTTTCTGTTGTTTAGTTAACTTTCATATTTTATCTAAATTTAAAATAATATGCCACCAGTAAGACGAAGAACTGTGAGTGGCTGGAGGAAACGTGAACGTGGTTGCTTGCATCAACCTCCCAATGGAACATTTGAAGGTTACAGAGTGGCAACCATCGTGAGGTGATACACCTAACCTTGGACAAATTAATGTTAACATTGTGGTGGCTTACATTTTAAGCAAAAAAGAGTCTGGCCGATACAGTTCAATTGTTACTCTTTGTTGCCATAAATGAGAGAACCGTTTACCTGAGCTGCGGAATTCACCTTACTTTCAGGAACTTATTGGAAACTCCCAATCTGAAATCAGGGCTGTGAGGCTTACATCTATATATTATTTGAATAAAATTCATCAATTCAATTCCGCCTTTGCCATGGTCAGCTCTGAAGCTCATTTAGATGAGAGGATCACACAGGGGACTTCAAGATCCATGACACTTGAAAGAAAAGATTCAATGAAAAAAACATGTGGGAAATAGGGTTGCATTGCCAACCCATTTGCACAATCTTTTAAAAATGGCAGAAATGTGTAGGGACGAGAGCGCCGAGGAGTCAAGTGAGATTCTTATGTACATAAATAAGAGACTAAATAAGTGACTTTCCTCGCTACTATGGTGCTACATGTATAGATATCGCCGCTATTTTTAAAGCTGAAAACAGAAGAACACCAGACCAAATAAATGTTAGTTTCTTTTTTTTTTTTAACTAATTATGTAAAACGCGAATCCGTTCTAGATCCGTCGTTAGATCCACTTGCTTGCCCTCTAATGATCCCAACCAGAGACTTTGGTTGGGGCCCCTAATTTAAACACGCCTAAAACAGAACCTATCGTAGAAATGATTTAACAGTGCTATATTACGTGTCGTACTGGTTTGCGTCAAGAGAGGGATTTGGCTTGCAACATTAGGTCTAAAAAGCTCACTTTACAGTGTGTGGTTGACATCTACGTTCTCATAGAGGGGACCCACCTACAATACATAAGAGATGACCAAAGCAGTATGAGAGTGGATCTATATTTAAATATTGTGGGTTAGTTTTTAAACTTAGGTATATGGTTTTTTGGGTTGGCTGGTGAGGAGTCATTGTCTTCCGTCTCGTCGTTGTGTGTACTACGAGTTTTAACTATTATTGTTCTTTAAAGTCAGTGGTTGTCATCTTAGTTTTTAAGTACCATGACGAAAAAAAAAATCTATAACATTGACACAAGTCGAATCAATTAAAAGGGTGAAAACAAAGCAATCTTTAAAATTAACGGAAGTTCAAACAATTCAAATGCTTGAAATGTATCAAAGTGAACCTTGTTTATTTGATATAGATATTGAAAGCTACAGCTTGGTTTCGTTCTTTTTTTAATAACACTTAAATGCCATGCTATTTCATCAGCTAAAATAACACTCGTTGTAGTACAACCTTCAATAATTAATCTGTTGGCACAATTCATAACGCACCTTTAAATAAAAATGAACACGCCTTTAATGGATACGCTTTTACCAGAAAACTGTTTACACTACACGGCTGCTTGTGGCCGTGGGACGGTACCGTGGCGCCACGGCATTTGCGTACGGCTGTCCATTGGCGTGGCGACCACGCCTGTTATGGACGTGGCCTCATGACAGTGTAAACACCGCTTTACTTTGAAGTATTAGTCATGCTGCCTTTAGCAGAGTTAAACCTATGGAGTGATTAAAATTATTTATTGAAAATAACATCAACAAAAGCACACAAACAACAAACTGTTTTTTATATGGTGTACAGGGATATCTATTCTGACACATAGATAATATGGTTCTAAGTTTGTTTAAATATCAGAATAATTTGTTTTACATTATTTAGATTTTTAGGGACTTATGTCCCTACAAGCCACTAGTTTATTTTATTTATACAAAAGATACTTTAGGATTGGATAATGAGTAGTTTTTGTTGTAATGTCTAACTTACATATTCACATTGCCTGCCTAATTTGTTATAACATATGGTTTATGTTATATTTCTATATTGTTATGAGTTTGTTTATAGTTGACTTGTTTACATTCAGTTGTTGTTGCATTCAGTATTCTATCTTATTCCCAATTAAATTAGTTTCATGTTAACTAACTGTCTAAATCATTTTATATAATCAGGGTAATTAACCGCTGCAGCTCAACTCTGCTATTTCTACAACATCAGTTTTAACCTTGAAGAATCTTTTGCAGCCCTTGATTTGGGTTTAAATTGAAAACTATTACCTGGATATTTAGTTTTTGTTTTGACTTGGTTTAGTGGTATTACTTATTTAATTTACTCAAAAAATGTAGGTAGCCTAGCCTAGTTTAGGAGAAAACCCCTTGACACTTAAAATCATCATACTCTTGTGTAGGCCTACAGATAATAGAAAATAGAGGCTATAATGCTTAAGGATAGATAGCTTCCAGAGCAAATTCGAGTTGTGACATTTGTCGATTTGCGATATTTGTCGACAGGCACAGGCGACACGCTGCTACGCCAACATTTTTAAGCTTAACAGGTAGTTTAGGAGAAAAATCCCTAGACACTTTTCAATATCATCACACTCTTGTGTACAGATAATATTGGTTAAAATAATGCTTAAAGATAAGGTTTGACATATACCGTTTTACGACATTTGTCGACTGGCGACACGCTGCAACACCAACATTATAAAACTTTGCTGGTAAGTAGTTTAGGAGAAAAATCCCTTGACACTTTTTAAAATCATCAAGATCCTTTGTACAGATAATATAGGCTATAATGCTTGAATATAGATAGCCTCCTGAGGAAATTCGAGCTGTGACATTTGTCGGTTTGCAACATTTTTCAACAGGTGACGTCAAAAATGTGATGTCAAACCTATAATGCTTAAGGATAGATAGCTTCCAGAGCAAATTCGAGTTGTGACATTTGTCGATTTGCGATATTTGTCGACAGGCACAGGCGACACGCTGCTACGCCAACATTTTTAAGCTTAACGGGTAGTTTAGGAGAAAAATCCCTAGACACTCATGCTGTGTCGCTATTTTAAAACTTGGCTTTAACTTAACCTATATCATATCAATTTGCCAAACTTAGCTCAGTTTGAAAACGTATAACCTATTTTATTTAAGTAGGCGTATATCTTACAAATTATACAAAGCTAAACATAGAGCCTGAGCTTAGCCTCCTCCTAGAGAAGGCCATGACATATGCCTAAAATAGTTGGGTAGCTAAGCCACATAGGCTAGGTCTAGCTCAACTAAGGGGTAAACGGTTGCCGGGTTGATCCTTGTTGGTGAGTACCATAAAGGAAACTTAGGTATAAAAAATTGTTGTAAATCCAAGTTTGGTTGTCCTCGATATAATTGCACTATTTTATTGACACTGACAAATGATAGGCTAGGCTGCCCTATAAGTTAATTGGGAGTTTATTTGATACTTATAACTTATAGCCATCTTAAGGCATACATAACTAAAACCACAGAGAAGTAATATAAACACTCATCCTCTGTAGGCCTAAAGCTACCTATATTTTATTTGGATTAGGATTAGTACTTTTTTTAGAGTGTCATTATGTACTGAACACACCTAGATAAAGGGTTAGTGATTCATGAAATTATCCATTTATAAAAAGCAACCTAACCGAGTTACCTAATGATGTACCCAGTACTTAAACACAAATTAAGGCTTTGGCCTATGGATATTAGTTTTAAAATGGAACAGAATAAGGCTCTTATAATCTAGATTAGGCATTGATTAGTGATAATAAACTAAACATGGATGAACAACCAAGTCAAGCTACTAACCCAGTTGTTTAGGCTAGGCTAACCTGAAAGAGGATCCATCTCAAAACGGCCAAAACTTTAGAACAGATCCTAGTGTTAGATTTATTTTAAATTTTATTTTTATGAAATAGATAGCTAATTTATCCAGTGCAATCATCCCACACTGCTAATTGCAACACTTAAACTTAGCTAGTTAAGCTAGTGGTAGGTTACAATTAATTTTTATCCCGGTGACCAATTTAGTGTGACATCTGACTTCAGTCAGAATCAGACGACATTGAGGACAACGACACGACAACCAATGAATAGAGTAATTTAGTGATGATAATTATTATTAAAACCTTTAAAAATAAGATATATCGCTAGTTTAAATTGGCAAAAGTATTAAATAAACAGTAATAAAAGCTGAGGATGATATGAGAATAGGTTTTTAATGGATTAGAAACTCATTACTATGGAAAGTTTTAGAATTTAATACAAATTCTTATACATCAAACGATTACTCTATGAATGAACTGGAGCAAAGTCGAGTCATTCTCTTTCTCTCTGTCTCAAGTTGACAAAATTGTAGGTCTTAAAATGTAAAAAAAGACAAGAATGGCGGAATGTTTTCCCATAAGGCCCATGTTAAATTTTCAAAAGTTTTTACTCATATTATGGCAAAAATAGATTTTTCCTGGCTATACCTGGTCTAGAACTTATTTTTGACACAGAACTTAGTTATTCCGTAAATATAAACGTTTTTGCGTGTGCCGATTCCCAGATCGAATTAACAAGTATTCAAACTTTACTCGTATGATATAAAGGATTTGTTATTTTACAAAGCAGTATGGTAGTCCTATTAAATTGCGTAACCGAATGTAGACAAATACTGATAACTCGGTTGTTTGTCATCCGATTTTAACAAACAAGGACTCATTTGATTTGCATTTAAATTCTCTATCTTTTGATCTGAAAAACAATTTTCTTAATATTTACGGTTTTCATGAAATTTGGCATTAAAGATTTTAAATGGCCGCCATATTGAAACGGGTTGAGATACTGGAACGAAACTTTGTAAGCTCTGTTTACCTACTAAAATACACATTTATACCAGTTTTGAAAAATTCCCAAGATATAAAATAATTCTTTAAAATCACAAACCGACAGACAAACAGAAATCTAGACATTTTAGACCCATACTTATATGGCATTTTATGTTTGTCTTAGCCCAAGGAACAAGTCCACAAAATATGTCCAGACAATTTGCAAACACCCTGTATGTCTCGGATGTGTCCAAGGATACATATATATACCCCCACCCCAGCAAACCTGCAGACTAAGCAAATTTCAATGATTACATATTTACTAAAATATTTCCATAAATAAGAAATATTTATTCCTAATTTAAATAACATTAGATTTAAAGAGTGCTTAGGTTTGCTACTACGGGGACGGTAAACAGTGTTTTTGACCAAACGTCAATAGTATAAGATGAAATAAATAAATTTGCCAAATTTGATCAAAATATATCCATAAACAAGTCAACTACAACAGTTTTCATTTTCTCCATAAGAATAACATGGGAATTTTAAATTTGCCCTTTTTTTAATTTTCTCCGTAACCCTTAGGCATACAACAATGCTTCAATATACTAAATTATTTCTTACTTATTCTCCATAAGAATAACATGGGAATCTTAAATTTAAAATTTTTTGGAATTTTCTCCGTAACAATTAGGCGCATAATAACGCTTCAATATACTAAGTTATTTGTTTTTTTAAGCTCTACAAAATGGTTTGGAAAGAAATTGCTAAATTTTATGTTTTTTGGGTCAAAAATGGGAAAAACCTATTTTTACCCCATAAAACCTCCCGTAAACCCCCGTTCCCATGGTCCGATCATGCTGGATCGCGAACTCGTCCGAACAAACGTACGTTTACACGTTTGTACCAAATTTAATCAAAATCGGATCATTTTTGCTCGAGTTATCATGCTGACGGACACATATATATATAAATATATAAAAAATTAAATAAAAAAGAATATAAAAAAAGGGTACTCATGTTATTTTACATATTATTTATTAAATATATATATATATATATATAAATATATATATATATATATATATATATATGAATTTGAACGGATGGTGTTTTTGGCCTCTAGGGACCTCAAAACGAAAAAAAAAAATCGGTCCCGCGTCCAGGTCTTACCATGAGTACTACGGTAAAATAGCTTATTCCCTATATGGGAAATTCGCTAATATATATATGAATCTGAATGGATGGTGTTTTTGGCCTCTGGGGACCTCAAAACAAAAAAGTAAATCGGTCCCAGGTCCTGGTCTTACCATGAGACTTACGGTAATAGCTTATTCCCTATACAGTAGACCCTCTCTAATCCGGCACTGCACCATTCCGGCACTTCAGTAATCCGGCGTCTTTTGACGGGAGGTCTTCCGTGATCGCGGAAAAATCATGAACATCTCCCGCGGTCAAGTAGACATTATCGGTGTCTTCCGCGGTCGCAGCAAAGATTTTATCATCTCCCGCGGCCGTGTAAACATCATTGTCTACTCCCGCGGTCACGGACAGGTCATTCTCGTCATGCGCGATCGCGGCAAAATCACGAACATATCCCGTGGACGTATAGACGTTATCATCGTCTCCCACGATTATGGAGACGTCATGCCCGATCGCGGCAATAGCGGTTTCCGATCGCACGATCTTCGGAGATGTGTTTTAATTCCATTTTAAGTGTTTTTATTGATAACATTCCAGTAATCCGGCATTTTCACTAATCCGGCAGTATCACAGTCCTATATCTTTTTGATTACTGAGAGTCTACTGTATGGGAAATTCGCTAAAAAATGAATGCAATACAAAAAAATATTGTTGGCTCCTAATTAGATGCAAATTTAAAGTTTATTTCTTTATTTTGATGTTTTATTTTTACTAGCAGTGCTGAATTATCTAGGTTGTTTTAGTGCTGTTCACTGTGCATTGAAAACATATAAAACTAAGGATGTTCTTATTGTTATTCTTCCTTTAAATACATCAAGAACCTAATTGGAATTTAAAGCACTAAGTGTTCTTGAGTTTTTAATAATAAAGTAGAACTAGTTTACCTGTCGCTCGAATTCGAGCAATTGCTAAGTATTACAGGCGTTTTTTTAAACGAATAACAGTCATAATTTCTGATGACTTTAAAAGATTCGACTCATAAAACATGATTATCCAAGACTTATTCCTGTTCTCTCCTATTTATCTCCTGAAGTGAATAATTTATAAACACGTGACTCGTGGTTTTTATTTCTCCACATCTACACACTTCCTCTTCCACCAGATGAAATCTCCACAAATTCACCTTGAAATTTTCCATGTCTTGTGACAAACTGCGTTTCATAATGTCCCATCTCCCAATGTCTCCCATCCCCTTGTTCCAGTCTCTTTCTGATGTTAGGTATATATCCAACGTTTACCTTTAAAACGTTAACATAAAACACTCAGCTCCCAACGTATTTGCCGCTCATCTAATATCTCCTCTCTTCTGTTTCCGATGTAGTACTCCCCAGTTTCTTGTCTTCCAAAATCACCAGCTTATGCAGCGATTATCTAACAGTCCTAAATTGAATGTGAAAACAGTCCTAAATTGAATGTGAAAACAGGCCTAAATTGAATGTGAAAACAGGCCTAAATTGAATGATAAATCTTCAGGCGGCTGTTGGAGAGTACACTAAAACCCAACACGGAAGGGTGCTTGCTGTATTCGGCTATCAACGACAATAGTATTATTTGTATTTAGTTCGCGTCTACCAGTCAAATTTTGTCGGCCTCCTCCTATTGGCCGTCCTATTGGTCAACGTCTTATAGTCTCCTTTTTGTCGAACGTTTTTTTAGCAAATTTCCCCTATAGGGAATAAGCTATTACTGTAGTACTCATGGTAAGACCTGGACACGGGACCGATTTACTTTTTTGTTTTGAGGTCCCTAAAGACCAAAAACACCATCTGTTCAAATTCATATATTTATATATGTGTCCGTTAGCGCAATAACTCGATAAAAAATCATCCGATTTTGATGAAATTTGTATTCATCTGTTTTAATGTAAACAAACATTTTCTCCCTAAGAATAACATGGGAACTTTGAAGGCCACTGGGGCAGAGCCCTGATGGAATTCTAAAGTTTTTTTGTTTGTTGGCAAAACTACAAGGTAAGACCTTTCTAGCGTCACCTTGGACATGGTAATCGGTAGCACCACCGCTCCAAAACAATTATGACAAAAATATGCCTAGCATATTAATATATAGAAGATAACTCAGTATAAGTAGTTTTGACATTTATTATGTAGTTTGACATCCATTTCTAAAAGAGCTCAAGAAAACCTGACAAAATACTAAATTTATAGCCTACGAGTCCAACTTTTGATTCATTATATTTTGTAAATAATGTAAGCTATAAAGATGATTTCTGTCTTATAAAGTGACTATATTTTACTTGGACAATCTTCTTGTATTCTGTTTCACTCAGGTGAGTATGGTGGTGCACCGCATTGAAAAAACATTGCTGATTGACGAGTTTGATTTTCACAAACATTTACTGCGAACTTCAGAAACTGACTGGGAGTGGCTGCGCAAGTTTTTCTTTGAACAAGTTCTGCAAACTCTAAGTGAAAAGGTAATTTATTATTATGCCCTTACAATTGAGTAAGGTTCTTCTACCCTAGTTTACTGGTTATAGGGCGGCTAGTTTTCATTAAATATCTTTTTTGCGTGTTATATCTGTGAGACTGCACAAAGTTCTGTTTTAATGGATTATGAATTGCTATTAAGACCGTGTCGTAAATATACTGTCCATATACAGTTAAAATTTTTAACTTTAGAAATACTTTTTTGCTGATTCTTCAGGATTCAAATTGAGAATTATTCTGACAGCTTCCTTTTGTTTCTTCAAAATGTCATTAAAGTTTTTTTTTTTTTTTTTTAGCCATATAAAGCCAAGCCAAAAGAAGTATGGGAACAAATATGCACATGATATATAATTTTTTACACACTTACATCAGTGCATAAATATGACATTCTGCGTAAAGTGAATATTCCTGAGTTAATTTTAGGAAGGATTTTTTCCACATGACAATCCCAGTTCAAATTGTCATCTATTTCCAACCCCAAAAATCTAGTAGACTTTTCAATTTCTATTAGCTTATAGTCAATTGCAATTGTGGGTTCAAATTTTCTCCTGCACTGAGCAGTCTTAAAGGAAACAAAATTTCTTTTTGATGGATTTGATTTAATTTTAATATATGGTTGTTATAAAAGTCTGTTAAATTAGCCAATTCTAGGCAAGATAGGAATTCAACATCTTTGGCGGTTTGCGCTGACACTTTCAGATTTGAATTATCAGCATATAACACCAAGTTGTCTTGTGGAATTTTTTTAAGTGTTTGTGCAATATTTTTTACATAGCAGATAAAGAGGAGTGGGCCTAACAGATTCCTGGGAGACACCATGTGTTACTAATTTTTAAATTTGATTTTTATTTTGAAACTTTATTATACTCCGTATGACTTAATTCAACATATTGAAATCTTCCTGACAGGTATGACTCAAACCACTTCAATACAGTTCTATGCACACCAAGTGACTTTAGTTTATGCAAGAGTGTAGGGTGATGAACGGTGTCAAACGCTTTTGACAAATACATGAAAATTCCTACACAAACTTCTCCTTTATCAACTGACTCAATAATAGATTCAATGAAGTCAACAGCAGCAGTGGTAACTGATTTGTTGAAACGAAAGCCATGTTGAACACTATGAGATCGTATATTTCCAAATATTCGACAAGCTGATTATAGACAACTTTTTCAAAAATATTGGAGACTACCGGCAGTAAAAGCTATGGGGCGAAAATTTGATGGATCTTTTGTAAAAATTTTTTTATGAATGGGTATGACTGGAGATTTTTTGCTGATTAGGAAAAATTCCAGAAACAAAAGAAGAAATTATCAGATGTGCTAATACTTTACTAAGGTCGAATTTTGCTGCTTTTATAATTGTAATTGAAATCTCATCATACCCACTCGATAATTTGTTTGAAAAAGAACTTACTACCTTCCACCTCTTCTTGACAAGTGTGTATAAATCTAAAGCATGGGTTTACATAAAATATTTGGGGTTCTATTTTTAGATTATTCCCTATATGCAAATCATCATGACCAGAGACCATTAATACTAACTTCTTGAGCAACGTATTTAAAACATTACAGACCTCTTTTGGGTTAATACATTTCCGACCTTCAATATCTAATGAGATGTTTTCTATAATACTGGGCTTTTATTACCTATTTCAGAGTTTATTATTTCCCATACAGTTTTTTTATATTAATGGATTTTGATATTTTCCCATTATAATAAGAAATTTTTGGTAGTTCAACTCATATTTATACCAATACATTTGTCCTTTTATTAATTTTGATAGATAAATAAATAAATATAAATAAATAAATCTTTATTGTCACATAACGTTTACAAAATATAGCAATGCTATAAAACAGGTGACATTGTCAATACAGTATACAAATACCTTAAAACTAAGGAGTTATAAAAGAATAAAATAAACTAATGCTATGAAAATAGAAATAATTGTTGTAGACAAAATAGATAAACTTAAACATTGCATTTAAATACCAAATAATTACACATCTTGATCACATAAAAACTCATCTATACTATAATATGTTTTCCTTAAAAGAAAATTAGTAAGGCTGCTCTTGAAATGCTTAGACTGTATTCTGTTTTTGAGCTCTTGAGACAATTTATTAAAAAACTTTTTGCCCATGTATGTCGGAGTTTTTTCTACTAATGAAAGACGGTGCCGCGGATATTGAAAATTATATTTAAACCTAGTATCGTACTTATGCTTGACATTTTCACTAGATAATTTTTCAAAATTTCCCTCCACCATCAAAAGTGTTTTAAAAATGGTTAAACTCGGAACAGTCATTATCCCTAATTCTTTAAAAATAGGTTTACATGATGTTCTCCAAGGAGCAAATATCATTATTCTTAAAAACCTTTTTTGTATCTTAAAAATTAAATCAATGTTTGATGCAAAACCCCAGAATTCAATTCCATACTGAAGAATTGAATAGAAGTATGCATAATATAACATCAAACGAGTTTTTAAGTCAATTGTGTTTCTTAAACATATCATTTGATAACATGCCGAATTCAGTCTACTAATCAAATTTTCAATGCTTTTGTTCCAATTTAAATTTGAGTCTACGTACAATCCGAGAAATTTTGCATCATCTTGAACACATAAATTTTGGTCACTAAACTCTCTTGCCTGAGCAGTACAAAACTTTACCAATTGGGTTTTATCTTGATTCATTTTTAAACCGTTAATATTGAACCACCGTTCCAATTCCGATAGGGCTTGTTTAACTTTGAGAGATAGTTCTGAATCATTTTTAGATTTGACAACTGCAGTTGTATCGTCGGCATATAAAACAAGGTTGTTGGAAACATTTTTAGGTAAGTCATTTATATATAAAATAAAGAGTAAAGGTCCGAGAATTGACCCTTGGGGAACACCAACTGTAATTTTTTCCCATTCTGATATTGATTTTTCATTATTTTTAAAAATTACTGTTCTTTGAAATCGATTTGTCAAGTATGAAGTCAACCATAAAACAGATTCTTTTGAAAAGTTATAAATTTTTAGCTTTTTTAAAAGTATATCATGGTTGACACAGTCAAATGCCTTGGATAGGTCACAAAACACTCCCATTGTGCTCTGTGACCCATCCAAAGCCCATGAAACCTCACTAATAAAATCTGATAAAGCTTTCATTGTGCTTAAGCGCTTTCTAAAACCAAATTGTTCATTAGCCAAAATATTGTTATTCTCGAGAAAGTTTGAGATTTGTTTGGATGCTAATTTTTCAAACACTTTTGAAAATGATGGTAACAGGGAAACTGGTCGATAATTGTCCGGATTTTGTCTCTCGCCCTTCTTGAAGAGAGGTTTGAGCTCTGCATATTTTAAATGGTCTGGAAAAGTTTTTTTTTGAAAAGACTGATTAATAATTATAGATAAAGGTTCAGCTATGAAATTAGAGACAGTTTTCATCAGATCGATAGGAATACCGTCCCAGCCCGCAGATTTTTTACTTTTGAGAGATTTTATATTATTAATAACTTCTTCTGTACTTACAAAACTAAATTCAAATTGGTTAGGTTGATTTCCTGCCAATGAATGCCTTGTCATTTTTAGTGCATCCTCTTCATGAGGTATTATGCCAATTTCTTTTGTGATATTTTTAAATTTTTTATTAAAGAATTCAGAAATTTCCTTGCCATTTTTTAGATGATTGTCATTAACCTTAATATCAGGAAAGTTTAAGTCACTTTTTTTACAACCGAGTTCAGATTTAATGATAAGCCAAGCAGCCTTACTCTTGTTACATGATTCTTTTATAAATTTAGCATTATACAATTTTTTAGCTTCATTGCATACCTTGTTGAAAGTTAACTTATACCTTTTAACATAATTAATGAAATTATTATCATTTGATTTCTTTACTAGTCTGCTTAGTTCTCTTTTTCTAATACTAGATATTTTAATACCGGTTGTTATCCAAGACTTTTTTTTATTATGCGGTTTGGTATGATAAAACTTCATAGGAAATGCCTCTTCAAATAAATTTTGAAAAGTACCAAAGAAATTTAAACAGTTATTTTCAAAAGAATTATTTACAGATACATTCCAGAAAGTTTCTTTCACATTATATATAAATTTTGCTGTATTTTCTTCTGAGAAAATTCTTTTTTTACATTTGTTACCATTTATTATATTTTTATCAGTTTTACTAAATATATTTAAAAATAATGCTCTGTGATCAGAGATTCCTAATTCTAAATTCATTGTTGTTGATACAGACAGATGATGATTAATTTTTGGTGATAAAATATTGTCAATACAGGATTTTGTGGACTTGGTAATTCTTGTTGGAGAGGAAAAATTTATTTTAAAACCATATTGCTCTAAAATAGAAATGAACTCTAACTTTTTCTGTGGGTGGCTAGAAGTATCCAGTACATCAACATTAAAGTCAGCCGCAATATATATATTTTTAGTACATGTAGCTTTAACCAGAAGTTTTAATAACCCTTCCAACTTTCTAAGAAAATGTTTAAAGTTATCAACATTAGGTGTTCTGTAAATAGCAACAACAATAATATTTAGAGTAACAATTTCAATACAAGAAATTTCAAAAACATAATCTTCGTTTAAGGCACATAAATCATTTCTTACTTTATATACTAAATTTTCTCTTAATAGTATGCAAGAACCACCACGAATTCCTTCCTTCCTGCAATAAAAGTGTCCTAAAGTATAGTTAGGAATACTATTTAAGATTAAAATATTATCATTTTTTAGCCAGTGCTCGTTCAAGCAAACCACTGAAATGTTAGAATCAGATAGTATTATTTCTAAATCATTCTTTTTGTTTACTATGCCACCTTCAATATTCAAATGCATTAACCAATTAAATTTATTATCAGTTTTGGCTGCACTACAAACTGGCCATGAAAAATTAGTATTGTGTACTGAGTCATTTGAAAAGAAAGAAATATGATGGTTCTTACAGATAACACAGAAAGACGTCTT